TTACTTCTTTTAAAAATCGTCTTTTTTTTCTTCTCACCTGCTACTTGAAAAACTTTGGTTAACAATTTAGTAAGAGCGACTTTATGTCTTTGTTAAATGCAGCATTATATCTTGTATATCCAGTCATCTATCTGGTCTATTGATAAATCATTCACTCTAGCAAAAGAAAAAAGAAAAAAATAAGAAACAATAAGAGGAACGCAAAGAAAAAAACATTTTTGAAATAAAATGCAGCAAAACTAAACAGCATAATTAAAAAAACTGAACAAAAAACATAGAGTTAATAGAGAAACTTTTAGCTAGCGTTGTTGATATCTGAATAAACTTTTTTGTTAATTACTGGTTCATTTTTGGATTAATATGTTTAGTACTGAAACCATGATGACTGCAATGACCAGCGCCATGTCGGCGGTACCACGCCGGTCGTCCAGACGCCTTTCTGACTTCTCCGATATAGCATATCTTACCGTGGCATTCGACGGATTCTCGCTAACCGAGAAGCAAAAGCAGTTGATTAAGGTTATTTTTGGTTAAAACATGATGAATTTTCTCGTTTTTTGACAGCTGCTTACGATATTATTTGACAAATGATATGTAATGAATAGATCAAAAATTAGGACTAAAACTGAAAAAGTCGACAAAAAAAAGCAAAAACAAAAGTGAGCACTTTTTTTACTCTAATTTATTTACTTTTTTTGTTTTTTTTTAATTTCTTAATTTTTTTTCTTACTTCTCTTTAATTTATTTCAATTTATATTGCTTTTTTTTGAAATGGTAAAGAGTATTTCATAAAAGCCTGTGTTTATAGGTTGGCTATAAGAAATGGTGTGAAAATGCTACAGAAACTGTTGGTGAATGGGTATACCAGTATATTTTTCAAAAATTTCCATCAATGAAGATGAAATTTGACAAAAATCCAGAATTGCTTAGCGATCATGAACGAAAAATTACAGATATAGTTGAGATGGCCGTCGAAAGTGTAGACTCTTTAGGTTTATTTTTACTGCAATTTTTGTTCTTCACCTTTTTCTTGTTGCTTATTCTTGTTTTTGTATCTAGTAGCAAACAACAAACAAATACATTTCAAAAAATTTTTTATATCTGTTCTAAAATCACAGAAAAAAGAAGCTTATTTGAAATGCTATGCACTAGTTAGGATTTATTTGTCTATTTATTTTTTGAAAGAAAAAAAAAGATATGATGAAAATCATAATAACAGCAATAATGATTTTGGCTTATAAAAATTTATGCTTATTCCTCTTATTTTCTTTTACATCTGAATATTCTTTTTTTTTTTTTTTCAGATGACTCATTGGGCTCATTTTTAGTCAGTTATCCAAGCGAAGGCAAATTTTTAGGTGAACCAGGTTGGTGTAAATATTCATAAATTTTATCTGTATTCTCATTTCTTTCTTTGTTTTATTTTATTTTTGTTGCTACTGTTGTTGTTCTTCATTTTCCTTTGCTTTTTAATCTTCCTGTCTTTGGCTTTTGCGCTTAAACTTTTTTCGATAAACAGAAGATAAAGATTATATTAAAAAAACTGTTTACAAAGGTTATTTGTCGAAAAAATTCTTCATTTTCTATTTTGTGCATATCAAATAACTCGCACCAAAAAAACGTCAAATAATCAAGTTCCCTTCCACTTCTTTCCACTCTCTTTCTCCTCAAGCAGTACTATTCCCTTCTCTTTTCCACATTTTCTGTTTTTGATCTTTTGCAGCACCTTTTTACCACATCTTCTCTCTTTCTGGCTCTTGCTGATTACCAGTACGAAGGAAGAGCTTTTTAAAAGTAGTATTTATTAAGGTGAAAAAACTGAAGTCATTTTTTCAAGAATACTGCCGAGACACTGACAGAGTGGTAGATTCTTTGGTGTAAGAAAGTCGTTTTTGGTTATTTCCTTCTTGTCTCTTCTAATTTTTGTCTTCTTTATCGTAAATTTAGATGTCTGCCAAAGGCAGTCAATAAGTGTGTTGTATAATGGTTCCTCTTAAATACTATTTGTCTTGATGAAACTTAATTTTATTTCATTTTTTATAAGCTGCTTTGATTGCATATACAAGTATTGCACATCCTAATTTCATCTACCTGGGGTATACTATCGATTATTCTTAAGAATATTCTTAAGTACCGTGTTCTGATAGATTTCTTCCTTATATTGGTTAATGTTAGTCAGTTGTATCACACCATCATTCTTATCATCGCCTGTTGAGATTAGCCATATAGCAGGTGCCAGAAAAGAAACGTAATAGTTCGAAAATACTTCCTCTTTCTATTTGCTATTTGCTTTCCAAATCTCCTTCTTTTTATTCCCAGCAGTTTTTTTTTTCTTTTGAAAACGGTTGGGACAATATTCTTGACAAAGGGAAACAGCACAGTATCTTTTTCCAGATAAAGTTTAAGGAGGCAAAAAACATGGCAAAAGGAAAAAAGGAAAAATTGTACAACTGATTCCTTATGACTTTCATCAAATAGTGCTTAATCAAGAAGTAGTCAAGAGAGGAAAGTATAATTAAGTTAAGTAATGTAGCAAAAAAACTGCTGTTTTTTTCGTCTGTTTCTTGGAATCGTTAGAGAATAAAAAAACAAAGTTGGCTACGGTTCTGAATGATTATGCTACAGTACCAAATGCATATTTTTGTATTGCAGATGGATTTGATCGAGCCTATTGGGAAGTGGTTTCCGAAGCTTTGTGCCAACTATCTCGTCAATTTCCGATAAAAACTCATAAGTCAGACACAATTTTGGCATGGCGTATAGTAATATTATTCATTATGAATAAAATTGAATACGGATTTCGTTTGGAAAAAAAACGTGATAGTAACTCTGAATAATTATATTGCTGCTCTTTCCATCTTTTATCTTTTATTTCCTGATTTTTTATTTGCGTCAGTTTGGTTTTGGCTGATTTTGATGCTTGAACGCTAAAAAGCTTAGCTTTTACCTTGATTGCCTTTTTTTTTGTTTTGTTTCTTCTGTTTTTTCACTTCTTTTTAATTTTACTAGCTTTTTTCTCTGTCTTATTCTAGAGACGTCTTAGAGTGTTTATGCAAATTTATGCTTAAGCAGTTAAATTGTATTTTCAAGCAACTAAATTCGGTGGTTTCATCTTCGTCTCGTTCTCAGAAGAAATCGCCGCCATAATCGCAGTTGTCGTCATCGTCTTTTCCTCCTTTTCTTTATCTTCTTCATTTCTTTTTTTTTTCACTTTTTTTCCTTTTTTATTCTTATCGCCTTTACGTTCGCCTTTAAGGCGGAATATAAAAGTAGCTGTGTTCCAGGTTTTTCCCCCTGACTCATGTGAAAAATTATTTAAGAAGAAAAAAAGCTTTGCTTAGATTTGTTTGAAGTGATTTGTATTTTTGAACTACGAAGAAGTGGGAGGCACTAGACGACGACAACGACTAAATCTGAGTAGAGCAATTGGTAATGACGCTCCACGACAAAAAAACTTTTTAGGCATTATCAATTAATGAATTTTGGGGGATTACACTACGTTTTTTTGACATTATTTGTTTCAAAAATTTAATTTAACAATAATAATTGTAATTTTAATAACATTAGGTAATTCTTTCATTGTTTCACAGTTCGGCAACAGTTTTTTTTTTTTTTGTTAGGAGTGTGGAGGGCGTAACGGGGAAGACGAAAATGGTTTGTATTCAAATTCTGAGTACGGTTTCTTCTTCGTCAGCTTCCGTCTGGTTTTTTGGCACACCATAACTGTTGCTGTGATTGAAGGGTGAAAAAAATGGGTCAGCTTTTTTTTGTTTTGTAAGTGTTTAGTTTTAGTATTTTTTTCTCTCCATCTTTTTTGCTCGCATTAATACGGATATACAGAACTTTGTATATTTGTTCTGAAAAATTCAGAGAAATCTGAATGTATACGGTGTTTAGCAATTAACAGTTTAATTGCTGACTGTTGAAAAATTTTTGTGCTTTTATTCAGTTAAGCCGTTCAACACATTTGGTTTACTGTTGACACAGTTTCATCATATTTTGTTTGAAGTTTGGCTTATAAACCAACTGTTTTGTAATATATATTAATATTATTACTTTCTATACTGCTTAGTTTATCTTATCATTATTAGTATTATTATTTTTTTTATTGTTTTTAGATTTTTTTTTGTCAATAAAGGTACTGCAGAAAAAAAAAAAAAAAAAAAAAAAAAAAAAAAA